ACACCAGGTCCCGTCTTATTCGCAAAACCCTTGTAGACCAGTGTTATCACCTCCTGCTTTTTTTTGTACTGTAATTACTTTACGCCTGAGTGGCATCATATAAAAGGAAATTCATCAGCTTGCGAAATAGCTTTTTACATTAAAATTCTATAGTCTGCGCGCAATCGAAAGTGATTTTCCCAACTGCCAGCAACTCGCTCTAGATATGAACGGATTCAACGAATCAGTTGACAAGTAGAACTAAGTGAAAGTTTATCGCAGCAAAGATGCAGGTATTTAGTAACGCCTCATTACTACTCAATCTAATTGGGTTGTCACTAGTCAACCAAAAATGCATCCAAACACTGACGGACATTGTAGCCGCCACATCTCTGGAACGCCAGGTGAATACGATACTCTACACGAGCTACGAAAATATATCCACTTTCGAGTCAAATGACGAACTAAAGTCCTCACATCTAATACGCGCACTTGCCATTGGACTGCCACAACCTTTGCTGCATTTCGACTACTCAGCGCCCGTCGAACCTTATAGAAAACAATTCAACACCGAGTTGCTAACCATCGCTAGACTTGGACAGCAGTTTGATCCGGCCCAAAAACTACTCACTACGTTGTGGCAACGTCTTTGGCACAACACACAAAGCCGTCTCATTCTACTTTTTGCTGATTCGGCTAAGGCTACATATGTTACCGGTATCTTGAAGATGTGTGCCAGAAATCGTGCCATGAATGTGATTGCCTTGCAGCCCCGTATGGCGGTTGAAGAACGAAAGTTTTGGACACTGCGCATATTTCCCACAACCAAGGTACTGAAGTCCACATTTCCAGAGAATTACAAAGATATATTTCCTAAACATCTGGAAAATATGTATGGCCGTCCAATACGTACCTTCGCAACAGAACCCTACTATCCAGAGTTCTACAACTACACAATTAAGGATGGATCCACAATACTCAGCGGCTACTACGGCAGAGCTTTAACTGAGTATGCATATCTTCTTAACTCGACAATTGAACAAAAACCCCCGTCAGTTGATCTCATCTTTGCAGATCCGATTGAATCAGTCAGGAGAAATACTTACATTGACATTGGACAATTGGCACCCATTCATTCAGTCGAATACAATATAAGTGTGACGGACGTGTTCTCGTACCTCGATTGCTGTCTAATGGTGCCACTTGAAGCTCCATTCCCAAAGTCAACCTTCTATTATAAGATAATGCATAAATCGTTTGTATTCTTGTTCGGCATTAGTGTGGCATTGATTTCAATCGTTTGGCGCTGCACAGCTCGCAGTCAAAGCCAGCAGCGACAAGAAGAACAAATATTCGAGTATTTCTTCAACTTTTCGGTGCTTCAAGGTCTATTGGGAATGCCTTTTTGGACTAACCGCAATATTTCAGTTTTACACAAAAACATCTGTGTATTCATCTGGTTTACGGGCATCCTTATAGGCACCACCTACAACGCTTTTTTGCAGAGTTATAGTGTAGATGCACCGATTGGCGCGCAAGTAAAGACCATTGATGATATACTTAATCGTGGCGTCAAAGTCGCAGTGTATACTTTTGAGAAAACACTTATGGAAAGTATGCCAGAATACAGTAAATACCTTAAAAACCTAACCGAGTTCAGTAATCTTACTGAATATCAATTGCTGCGAAACACCTTTGACATTCGCTATGCATTCATGGTTTACAAAATGTGGGGCATTTATGATGAGCAACAGAAATATTTCTCACGCCCTTTGTTTCGTCTGACAGATATCTGTTTATTTAAAAATTTACCAATGGTGTTTCCTCTTCAGGAAAACTCTGAGCATGAGGAGCGTTTGAATGATTTTCGAGTGAGACTTCAAGAAGCTGGGCTAATCGAATTTTGGTTGCGTCATCGCATTTATGTGGAGATGTTGGAGATGGATCTAATTCACATAGAAGATTGGAATAAAAAGCCGCCTTTCGAGCCGATGACTTTAGAGGACTTACACATTGTACTAGCAGTAATGAGCGTATTTATTGCATTAAGCATTTTTTGCTTTGCGTTGGAGATATTTTGGAAAAATTGCAAAATATTGCATTCCATTGGCGGTTATTTTCAAAAGAATATTTAATTTATTGAAATGCCATGCTGCATGGTGTCCTAAAGTGCTTTAAAAGCATATATTTTTTTTTTGTATGGAGAATTTTTATTGACTTGAGACATGCTACTTTTAAAACCTACTTAGTTTTAAAATATTTTCAAAACGAATACATAATCTAAAATCTGTTGCGTTTTAGGGGTCGACAAACGGCTTGCAAAATCGCGGGTTTTCCGTTTTTACGGTTGTTGGTCTACCCATTTCATAAATATGAACGATATGTCTAAATTGTAATTGTTGTCATTTAAACTACAACTACAATAGAGTTTATGTACATATATGGAAATAAAGAATATATAATTAATTTCATAAAGAAATTTCGATTTAATTATTTTTAGTGGATAATTTACCTTTACAGGAATACCAAACACGTTCACATTGAAGACAACGAACGACTGGGGTCAACTTGTCAAATAAGGGTAGATTAACTACACAAAGTAAAAAGTAACATAATTTTTTTTAAACAGCGTCATTTTAGGAGTTTCCATATTAGTGTTGAAAAAGGGTGCATTCCAAAACATCAAAATACAAAGCACCAGTCCCTTCTATTTCTAAACCTCAGCAGATTATAATGCGGAAAGTGCGCAACCACGGTTAGATGCTAGTTTTCAACTAGGTTGCGCATAGAATTTTTCTTCTGGTTTAGAAACAAAAGAGACTGATGCTTTGTATTTTGACGTTTTGGAATGCGCCCAAACTTATACCTGAAGTGTGACCAGAATGCAGAAAAGTTTGAGAATCAATGGAAAATAATATCCGTCGCAGTTACCAAGAACTTCACGTTGCACACAGGAGTATTTGTACAATAAAACCGGTCAAAATTCAAATTTATCCACTTTGATAAAATTCTCTTTATTGTGATCTTTTTTTTCTGCGCTTCCAATAGCTGCATTTTTTTCTTTCGTTATTATGTTTTTTATGTACCAATCTTAAAATAAGACTAGTAGACATACAAATAGAAAGCATGTAAAAACTATAATTTACATTATTTTGAATTATTGAAAGTGGTTTGTGGGACATTTACCTTTAGCAAACATTTCAAATAAATAACAGTAATTTTGTTTGCTTGTCAGGTCGCGTCGGACAATACACTTTTATAGGGATATTTTTTTGATCCTTGGCAGTTTAAATGGTATAATAAGTAATTGGGTATTATTATTGGCAGTCTGCCGAAGATAAAACAAAGTTTTCCGATCAAAAAATATTGAATTTCAAGAATTCTATACCAATTCTACGAAAGCTTGTTTTTTCCCATAGAAAATACATGGTAACTTTAGGCACCTTGAGCGACTTCTAAATATTTTTAATTTCAAAATAAAAAAAAAACAGAGGTATACTTTTTTCGTTATAGAACAATCCTAGGGTGTGAAAACATTTAAATTCCGACTTTACTTTTTCACATCATTTTTGGACCACCCTAATGTACCAAAAATAGTTTTAAAATTATTTCAGTTTTTTCCATTTTTTCCGTAAATGATAAGTATTATCGAAAAAATAAATAGCCCAAATGAAAGTTTTAGATCATACAATTATCTACAAGAGCTTTTGCTGTTTTTTCTACGATTCAACATTGCTCAATTATTGTCAGCGTCGTTCGTCGCCTTTACCTCATTAAATGCATTAATTACTTTCGACAATAAATTATAGTATATCAATGCGTTTTTTGCAAGGACTACCTTTTGATATTAAATCAATAAAAGTGTTGCAAAACCATCAGCTCTCACAGTTCGTAGTTATTGCTAAATAGCTGCACAACTTTTTGCTTTCGCAAGGTCAATGCTGTAATATTGTGAATAAAATAAAATGAAAATATTTTCGGTCCGGTTTAAGATGAATTTCAATTATCTCTTGTTTACATCGTCCGTACAACACATCACAGTACTTATTGCGTGTTGGTTGGTGGAGATCTTATTTTGTAAGCATCTTCTTGGCGTCGATTTTTTTACTTTTGGAGTTTATTACATTTTCTTTTTTAACTTCGGTAAAGCCTTTTTAAAGATGTCAAATTAATAAATAGTACATAATTTTCACTTAATTGTCGTTAATGGAAAAATAAGACAACCAGATATCCTACCCAAACTAATTGCAAGTCGTTAACCTTTTAGAAGTACATGTTGAGCGAAATAAAACTTTTTTTAAATAAGTTTTTAATTATTTATTATGCTGTAAAAAACTGATTTTACGAGCATTTCCGGCATTCCTTGGTTATTTACTTTTTAATATATGTATACCCGATTTTGTAGGCTTGCTTTTTTATAAGCTTTGCCAAGAAAAAAATTTAATTTCTGAAAACAGTTGGTTTTTATTAATTCAAACCCCCTTATGGTTAATCAATCTCTGTCAATAATAAAGAAGTTGCCTTTAGCCCAATTGACTCGCCAGATCATTTAAAAAATTTCAGTAAGTCCTGCTCGCCACAGCCCATTAAGAATTTGTGGTCTTATTCGAATTTGTGGTCTTTTATAGTTTTTATTTTAATTTGATCCCATTTAAAATAGGAGGAGGTGCCCCAAATGGATTTAATAAGGCGCTCCAAGATCAGTGTTGCCAGTTTAGCCTTTTTGAGGCTACATCTAGCCTTTTTCTTTGTCGTTTAGCTTAGAAATTTAGGTTTTACTAGCATAAACTAGCATTTTTTTAGGGCAATCCTCCTAAATATTTGTGCAGCACTAAATTATTGTTTCGGTTCAGTTTTACTTGACGAAATGTTAAGCGAATTTCACCCGGCGGCATCGCTCCGTCTGACTTCTGTTCTGTTTATACTTTACCAGTTTTTTCAGAGACTCTCAAGTGTACCTGCAAAACCAGGAAATGCATGTCATCGTCGTCGCTGCCATGCCGTAGACATTCGGGAATTCTTAGTCCCCACATTGCCTCTGCTATTGCGTCACATGCTGCCGACCATTTTTCGCTGCTTTGTACCATAGCCTCCACGAGTGACTCAGGCGTGAAACTCTCGCCAGATATGTTGCGAAGTTTGCATCTGGTACTGTCAAATCGCATACTCACAAAAAATACGTCTTCTATTACATCTAAAATGTATAAATGTATCATTTCTTTGTCTTTAAGGACTATGTGTTTTCAGACCATAAAAAATAGCTCCCTTTATATTAAAATGGTTTTATTATACGGTATGTGGTTCAAAAATGTTTGCACAAGGCTTTCATGAAATTTTATGATCGTAAGTACTTTGGTTGTTAAGATATTTACATTTTTTGTTTCTCGGTGGTACATTTGTACCACCTCTTTGTTCATAAGTGTTAATGAAATGTTGAAAAGGCTGGCCTTTTTTAACATTTCTTTTGGCCATTTAGCTTTTTTTAGCTTTTTTATTTGGCCGTCCTAGCTTTTTTATTTTTGAAGTCCTGGCAACACTGTCCAAGAGTTTCACCCCGAATATCTCTGCCAGATTGGTGAAGAAGCATGATACCGATATGTGAGTCGCCTGGACTCCACCGAGAACGAGGAGCTCATTTTCATTACAGCTACTTCTGCAGAGAGAACTAAGTAGTTGATATTCGCAACAACAATAGCACGGTGGCCACACTGAGAGAAAAATGTGTCTTATATTATCAAATTCAAACTTGAAAAGCAATCAACGTGATTTTTAGTTAATATTAACAACCTAGCCAGCAAAGTATTCATTTTTTTCGAAATTTCCTTTTTGTGGATAATTATTATATAATGGCACTTTTTTCCCTTGTGGGCCATTATGTGAGCTTTTGAACACATATTTTTCCAAATGTTTGTCTTATTCCTACCGAGAGATTTAAGATTTTGTTTATCGACACTCCCGAATTGTACACTGTGAGCCGTCTGTAATAAGAAAATTAAATAAAGTTGCTTATTCCAAACTTAAATATTTATGTCTGCTTAACAATTCCAGGTCATAATATTACAACCGAAACAGAGCAAAGAACTTAACATCTCGTATACTGTAAACACCAGGAGCCAGAGCCTCTGCCGATTGACCAATGTATCATAAATTATCATTATACAGTAGACTGCATCACTCCCCATACAAAAAATAATCGGTACTATTTTTCCATTGGAATTATAAAATCTACTATATTTTAAGACGTCCACCAAAATATTTCGGAAAAATATTAAGATTTAAGTGAGCTGGACCGATTTGAAAATACCTCCAAAAATGGTTTTTTTATGAATAAAAATAGTTTCTTAAAGATTTTTTTTTTTTAAAATCCCCTCAAATGCCAAAACGGTTTAAGCTTAAAATTTTTGCATAAAAATATTTAAAAAAAATTTAAAAAAATTTTAACGGAATCG